GATGCCTCCTGTCAAAAGCAGCATTGTATATAAGGACATTATTAGTTAAAGAATTTTTAAAATAGCCTCTATGATTTAATAAATTTGCTCTGAAATTAAGTTTTGAGTTATTCAAACACTAAGATTTGAGCTTTATCTATTTCTAATGTTACCAAAGTTTTACTTTCCATGTGAAATTATTGTATATACGTGTGAATGATAAATTTGATTTATCTTCCATTCTATCGCAGAGTTTAATTTAGTTACTGTTGTCATTACTTAATAAAACAGGGTTCTAATATTTGTATTTATTCACAATATCTTGTAATGTGAAAGTCATCAAAGTGCCCCTGTCAGTTTAGACAGGGGCACTTTGTACTCAGTCTTGTCCTCAGTTTGGCTCTTGGCCCACAGTTGCATAAACAATATTTTGTCAGAGCAAATAGCATGCACATATCAAACCTATCCTCCATGGTTTTTCTTCTCATACTCCTATATTTGCCTCATACTCTCAAAGGCATTTCACAGATATAAAGCCTTCACATAGATTATCTGTTATTATTTATTTTTGTTAACCTATTGTAGATGCCAAATGCAGGTGACGTGTGATTATTGCAACCTAAAATAGTCAACATCTGTTTAGCAAGCAATCTAATTGAAGATCTGAACCAAATACAGCTGCTATATTATTGCAGATTAACAGCTTTTTAAAAGCAAAGAATGTGAGAACACCATCTGAGGCATCAGTAAATCTATCTGATCATTTACTTTTAATTACTTCCTATTGTTCTGAGAAGCACAATAGTACCAGTAAAGCAATGCAGGCCTGCATTCAATTTTATAATATCTACTCATTCATTCATTCTGCCTTAGTAAGACAGATTAGTTTGCAGCGTTGAGCTATTTTTTTTACAGTTTCTTATGCAGATGAGGGCTTCCCTCCACCCCCACAAAAAACACAATATTTGCGGTGGGCTCTCTCTAACATTTGTTTTTTGTGAAGCTTTAGATTTCCTAAAATTTTCAATCTTAAGTTGGAAGTCTACTCAACACTTTGCACTGTCACCTCATGGCAAGAACAACACAGTTTGGATGATCTCCCCGAGCCTGTGAGGGTTTTCTCTAGTTTTCTTCTCACCGTTGCTTGTGGTGTAGATGTGAGATCAATACAGGACTTAAGATACAGAGAATAGAGTGGTGTATGCATGTATGCATAACAGTGGCTTATAGTATATAGGGTTTAAAATCTTTTTCTAAAACTCTTTACCATTTATTTCAACTGCAAACTCTACACATACACCAAACACAAAATCAACATTAGTACACCCAGCTAACGTTTTGGTGTTGATTGATCATCACTATCCATTCAAGATAGCTGAAATGAAAAATAACAGTGAAACTTATGCAGACATCCAGCATGTTACCTGGCCACCTGCTTGATGTCATTCAATAACTTTTTAGTACTAGGAGGCTTTTTTATCCAAATTTTTGCATGTGATTATTTTTTCATTAAGACTAAAACAAAGCAAACAAGAAATACTTACAAAGGGGGAAACAATATATATTAGACAGTTCTGTAAATCTATTCCCTGCAAGCTGGAATTGTACCCAGCAGTTTTTTCGCTGCTAACACTACTACTACTTTTTCCTACTGAGCTATACAGCCATCCCACCAGACTGACTCTATAACCTTACAGTACCTGCCTCTTATCAGAAACCAACTGATGACTGAGGGGTTGGAGCAGTCCACTGACCATGCAAAACAATAAGAAAGTCATATAGTTTGCATTATTCTGTGTTACTCACCACTTCTTTAGTTTCTTGGGAACTTTGTTCCTGCAATTAAAAAAAATATATCAGGAAATCACTTAATGAGACAAAAGCAAGACACGCAAGAACATTACTGTCAGCCAAAATGGTTTGTGAAAAACATTCCTTAGCACGTAAACTTTGAGTGTAACAACTCAAAGGCAGCAGACATTGAAAACCAATAATGCATTTGAATGCAGCGCTTGCTGTTGTAAATTAAACACACTCTCATGCATGACCCTGGAAACCTGGTAACACAGTAGAACGGTACACAATTGTACTGGTTTTTTATAGCCACGTCGTTTGCTGAGAAGTCCCTGAGATTCTCACTATATTAACACCTCACATACTCATACACATCCTGATGAAACCATGACAACACTTGCTATGAGCTATGTAGGAGGAGGGATGGGGAAACAGCAATGAACTACAATGACAGGGAAACGACTCCACTGCAATGGCACTGCGGGGAAACGGAACATCCCATCCCATACCACATCAGCCCCATCAGGCTTCACTGTACACCATAAGCTGCGGAAAACAAAGTCCTCATGTAACACAGCTACAAATAGAACAAACAATGAGAGTATTGATTTGCCTCTATTTGGTGCTTTTTTTTTAAATGGTGAGCACAAAGCAGCATATTTCATATCTCCTCTGGCACTGACAGTGCTTCCAAGGCAGCTGACATTTTTTTTCTCCACACAGTCTCACCTGAATGCTAATGAGGAGAGGCTGACCGCAGAAGCAGGCTGTGCCTTCAAGTGTCTCAGTGTGTTGCATGTGTTTGTTTGTGTGTAACTCTGCCATTGGGTTTGTTAATTTGCTATACTACAGATGCATGTATTCCTCAGTCAATTTTTTTTTGTGCTGCATCTCTCTGTCTATAACTGTATTGACAGTAACACCTACACATGAGATAGAATATGATTACTGCACATAAATTCCTGCATGATACAGTCAATTTGCCGAATATCATATTTTCAAGTCATAAAAATCCAGTCTCTCCTGTCTCTGTCTCCTCACTGCTAGGATCAAACACTTTATGCTCATCTCACTGTATCATCTTGAGATGATGTGTACTTAAAGCAACAGCTTGGCAGTAGATTTTCATATAGATAAGAAAACTGGGTCGAGGGGGTAGCCAGCCCATATGATTTCTACACAAGAAGCAAAGAACCCATGAAATATAACTAGCCTCATCACAAATGCCTCCTGTGTGAAGGCGTTTGGATATGAAGGATGTGAACATCTTCTACTCGGATATACATGCAGTGCACAAGGGAACTGCATCCCCTATATATGATGCGCAACATCCATGTTAGTCGTGATATAGTCATGCGTCATATAGCCGGCAAAGCGTCCGAATATTGGTCATTTTGAAGCACGATTATAATGAAAATGAATCATTCATTTATCGCGTGCTTGCGCCTGTCTTATTCCAAAGGGGTAAACACTGAGCACCAACAGTACATTATGATTTCAACAAGATTATCAGTTAAATTTTAAAGAACTGAACACAAATAGTGCAAGTACGTGAATATTTATCCTTACCGTTGGCAAGAGCGGCTCCATTTGAGCTCCTTGATCCGTGATGTCCATCTTTTCTTCTCCTTGGCTTCACAACAGGCAAGTCGTGATGCGCTACTCCGCCTCTGTCAAATGCGTCTCGAAAACGAGGATGGCTTTTTGTTGTAGCTGATTTGATGTCTCTTTTCTCCCTCGTATTCACCGGGTGGGTTTGATCAAATGGAGGTAGCAAAGCATTGCCGTCCTGCCCTACATAATTTACGCACGAAGGAGGGAGGTAGTGCTTCCCATTACACGCGCTCACCCCGGGACGCGGCGGTGATGAGCACACAGGCGAGTGAACATACAGGGATTCATTTGTGAATACATATTTATAGTCATTTGTAGTCGTTAAGACACGCATAACTATGTTCGGCCAAACAGTCTATTGTTTCAATTGGATCTGTGAAAAAAACATTCAATGTATTTCAGTAGGGTGCAGTTTAAATACTGTACTGTACTGCGTGCGTTATTAATATCTAGTTTAACCGCGACAGCAATCAATACAGCAATGGAGCAATGTCTGCTTGTTTGGTGTTACCCATGTGGATTTTCTCAACCACTGCGCCATACGCAGGCCCCCTCCACACTGAAAACAGCCGCAGCCATTGTCATTATTTTCTTCTCATTTCAGATATAAACATATAACGCATAATATTACGTCAAATGCGCATTACCACTATCCAGAACATCTTACACACCGGCTACAGAAATGCTCCGGTCATTCCATCATTATTTCTAGCTGCAGCACGCCATGCTGTGCCTGTGCCGGAGTTCACGTTTGACCAGGATGCCGCTGCAGTGAAGTTTATACCGGGGTGCCCTCCTCTGGTGGCCATAGAAAACCGTTGCAATTAGATTTAGCCTATATTCATAATGCAACTGTTTAATCTCACTTAAGAGTAACACAAGACAATAGCATGAACGTCAGTACTTAAGTACTTACCTAAGTAATCAATATTTAAGTTGATGCTGGCATTTAATGATGATCAGGCTACAGTGAACTGCTTTCTAAGGTCAAACACATCAACTCTTGGATTCCATGTCAAACTTTTGCTTGAAGCAGGGGGGAAATTGCCCCCGCCTTTTTAAGAAGAAAAAAAAAACAATGAAAGAAAGACGACATATCCATTTTTTTCTCGTATTCAATGATCCTTCCAAATAAGGGGCATATTACTTTTATCTTACCGTTATCTTAACATATGATCACGTGATGAATAAATAGTAATAGTGAATAGTGAGTATATTTGTCATTACACAGATTATGCATTCAATGCCGAAAAAACTTATTAGGACTTAACATGTCTGAATTTTGACATAACGCCTTAATGGGAACATTAAAATAAGTAATATGTTTGCACTTTAAGGCATTTTAAGACAAGCTACTGCTATTTGGTCTTTTTTTAAAAACGCTACGTTTATGAATTATTGACCGTTTTTGTTCTTTGCCGTAAAGCGGTGTTACCAGAACAGGCCAAACAGAACTTCTTAGATGAGATTCTGTGGTTTAAATATGGATCCTTTTTATTAGTATTAAACTCGCACTCAGTCATTCAAAAAAGAAAAGACAAATAAAGTCTGGGAGCCCAGGATCAATCCAGCTGCCATCAACACCTGCTAGGTGGGAGAGAAGTAAAGATGCTGCTGCTGATTCGGATCCGGATCCGCCCAGTCAGGCGTCACGGCACCGACAAGATGGCCGAGAGTACGGGACGAAAATGAGGGAGGAAACAAAAACACTGGTGACACTATCCTTGCTGTGGATGCCAGACCTGTAGAGCAGCGGGTGACGAGTTAGTGCAAAGATATAAGCTGGGTTGCTTAGAGTTTCTGTTCTGTGGGTGACATTTGCCGTATGCAGACGAATTGTAGTCCAAGCTGACGGAACGTTTGGCAGGTCGTCTGCTTTGGCCAGGGAGCTAACCCGCTAATCATGTTAGCTAGCTGACGACACCGTTAGCTAGAGAATACGCTTTGAGAAAGTGACATCAGGTTAAATTTGAAATACACAGTCGTCGCTGCTACTTTATTACAGATATCGTTTTTTCGCAAACGGTATTACTTCTACGAGTGAGAAAATTAATTTAACACACTGGTTAACACTTAGCCTTCTGGTTAGTAAGCTAACATTGCGGATTTCTTCAGAGTTAGCGTTAGCAAACGTTGGTTAGCGTGCTCAGCTGTTTTGGGTGTCTTAGGTTGTTCGGATACAGAAAAAGTGCATTAGTTCGTGTGCAGGAAGGACATTTTATTGTCCTGTTTGAGCGTAACCGGGGGTATTCTGAGCAGATCTGGGTAGCTAGGTGTGCTGCAGGAGCGCTGTGGGGCATTAACGGCACCACAGCCGGGACTGTAAACACAAGTGAAACCGATCAGACCTCAGCCCTGCACTACAGAACCAGTCAGCATCACCATGGCCCATTCTCCCGTTCAGGGTAACCTGCCGGGGATGCAGGTAAGTTAAATGTCTGTGGAGTCTGTCCGCAATAGGTAGTCGAGATGACTGTCAGAACAGAATTTAAATCGTTTGCCTCCCTGCTGTGAGTTTGTACTCCCACTCGGCTCAGTGAAGTGAAGCGTTTAAGTACTCTGGTACATCGCGTCAATTCGCCTCATGCTCGAGGTAGAACATTCCATTATTAGTGAACTGGGCAGAATAAATCGGAGGTACATATTCTCTAAAAGCTACCAAAACACATAGACTTGCGTGTGCCGAGGGTAAGTTAATTAACCTTTCTGCTCCATGTGTTTTCATTGTTAGTATCACTGACAACAAGTCTACTATTTAATGACACATATTTTGAATTGCAAGAGGTAAAATTCGGATATTTCAGTCATGACTTGAAGGAAATATTGAGCTCTCACGTGCCGTTGTGCAGAGACGTGCAAGCTGGAACTTTGTTCCTATCCTTACTGCGCCTGTAGAGCTTGTGTTGGGCAGATGACTAGAGCAGATAACTGTTCCTAATGTAAACTGCCTCACGCACCAGATTATGCTGTCTTTGCAGGCTTGTTAGTAAACACAAGATTCATATCAGAAGTAGAGAAGCTTTTGGGATTAGCCAACGGCTACCTCAGTTAATACATAGTAACTCATACTGAAAGTATACAAAGGTTAGGTTTATGTTATATGAGTCTGCACAACACTAAAGCACGCTAAATCATCGTTGTTGCCTGCCAGTCCACAATTTGGAGAAATTGTAACACATTTTACTCGCAGAGTCAATGGTTTTTCCTTGGAAAATTGGATTTAAAGGCACCCTTTGACAGAAGGGTTCCTCCTCATATAAACCAGTGGCTTCATATTTTAGTAATCTCAAAATGGACACATTGACCCTGCCTTTGCTCAGAGAGGTCAAAAAAGGAAGTTGTTTTTGTTGGTGCCTAGTCCTGTGTTTCCCACATAACAGCCTCCTGAGAATTCAGTAATTTTAGTTCACTTCCTGTGGTGTTAAAGGTTTTTTCATACCCCACTCAGTTACACTCAGTGTTACTATCCACCGGCCCCACCGATACAGTTTTCAGTGAATTCACTAAGCACACTTTCAGTTTTTCCATCATAAGCACTCCAGAGTGTTAAGCTTTTCTGTGTGACTGCTCAAACGATTTAAAATCAGGCAAAAGCAGTTACTCAGTGTTAAACAGGCAGCATGTAAAACTTGTCAAAGGAAATAAGACGTACAAGAGTTGTGTATGATATCACAAAAATACCTGTACAAATTTTTACATGAGATAAATATGTCATATAGTGATATCATTAATATAGTAATGCTATGCGTTTACATTCCCTACTGTGGTCTTGTCTGAGAACCATGTGTCAGTCTCTGACAGCGGGTTAGTACCTAAAAAGGAGCTACTTAAACTGTCTCTAACAAAGCACAGTACTTTGTAAAATATGTAAGAACAGTGTTACCACAAAAGTTGGAAATGACAAATGTGTTTCACCACGTGAGGCAGAAACAGTGTTAAGTGCGACCAGGCTATGAAGGAGGAGATGCTAGCAGGACTTTAAGTAGCTGGTTAAAAAGCTGCAAGATACAACATTCTAGATAGAAAGTATTTTTAAAGTATTACAAAAATTTTCTTGTATCATGAGCTATACCACACCCTCTACCACCTACACTTACAACTGCTTGAGCTGCTCAGTCATGGCAACCCATGTCAAGAAGCTCCCAATGCACATTTTTTGTGCTGATGTTGAACTTACTGAGTCAGCAGAGTGTTAGTAACTAAGCCTCAGCACTTGGCGACCCTGCTGTGCAACATTACATGCTGTCACTTTGTCAATCCGTTGCTGTGGTTCCTAAAGGCTTGCATCTTTTAATACTAGCTCTTAGAGTTGATTGTGAAATTTCTTCGTGTCTAGATATTTCACTGTAACTAATGTGTTACAAAGGTATCATCCTGTTAATCACACTCAAATTCATTGAGCTCTTTAGAACAGCCCATTCTCTCACAACTGTTTGTAAAGGCAGGCTGCTTGGCTAGGTGCTTGATTTGTATACACCCGTGCATATGTGACTGAAAACATTTGAATTCAGAATGGTGTGGCCCAATACTTTTGTCTGTATAGTGTATGTAGCTGTATGCTTATATACTGTATATGATATATGAGTAATGACATGAATGTATTATTCATGTTAAGTAGCCCTGATCTCCAAGTCCCCTTGAAAGCCTCATACGGGTTGATTGACTTAATCTTAGATGTTTTTACTGCAGTCAGACTTAAGTCCTCAGCGTATTAAGATTTTTAATGTGTGTTTATACATGCTGCCTCAGGCCTAGAGAGTCCAAAGCAGAGCTACAATGTTTCATTTACTAATAATCATAAGAACAGTAACTCAGCCTTTTTGAAAGTTTAATTTGGTCATTGTTTTTCTCTTCTATATGTTTTTTTTTCTTTTGGGGGGGTCTTTTGTTTGTTTGCTTGTTTTGTTTCAAAAAAATTAATGAAGAAAATGATGAGCGCACAGTAAACCCCAAAGGGGTAGCTCAACTAAAATGTTGCCTTCCATTTACATTTTGGGTTTTTGTTTTTTGTTTGTTTGTTTTTTGTTTTTTTTAATGCTTTCTTAACCTGCATGCTGTTCAATTTTTACACTTTTCCCTTTCATTCTCCTGTGTCTTTCTTTTTGTGTACACAAACAAAAGGTGTTGCAATGAGTGAATTAATGTGTCCTGTAAGAATGGCACCCTGCTGGTGTTTCCTGTTTGCTCCCCAAGACTGATTTCTTTTTAAACATTCCTTTCTTTTATGTTTTTTTGTTTGTTTGTTTTGTGTTTTGCTTTTTCAATCCATCTTCCCTTTCCGCCTTTGTTTTGTTTCCCCTGCCTGTCAAACATCAGAATGCTAGAGTGGACCCAGAGGAGCTGTTCACCAAGCTTGAGCGCATTGGCAAGGGTTCATTTGGTGAGGTATTCAAAGGCATCGACAACCGTACACAGAAGGTCGTGGCGATCAAGATCATAGATCTAGAGGAAGCAGAGGACGAGATCGAAGACATCCAGCAAGAGATCACTGTGCTGAGCCAGTGCGACAGCCCCTTTATCACCAAGTACTATGGCTCATACCTGAAGGTGATGTTTGTTTCTCACACAAAAGCAAGGTTGCAATCAGCAGCATACTTTCAGGTTCATACGTATTTATAAACATTTGGTCTAATTTTGGCTCTTTACACCACCGCAGTGGATTTGACATCAAACAGTCAAAATCTGATTTAATTGTAGACTTAGCTTTAGTATTCTCTTTTCAGAGAATCAAAGATGACTGTGCATGCTGGCAAAACATTTAATATTTGTATACAATTATGGTAAGAAGTGTACATATGCTTGTCACGGGCATAAATGTCATGATATTTTGTGGGGGGGTTTATTTCTTTTTGTGGGTTTTGCCAGGGTGGAATGATTATACAACATACAGCTTTAATGTGCACAAGTCAAATCTAAATCCATTTTGGATTTTCTCATCACTTGGCGTCAAAACTGTACATGGAGGTTTATACTTACACTGTCTTTAATCATTTAATTCAGTGATTTAAAACCAGTTTAATTAATGGTCCTGAAGGTTTTATAGTGTATTTTAACTTGATATGGTCAAGGCCTGTTGACGTCTTGTTAGTGAAAATGATTGACTACTGGTAATTTGTCTTTGCCAGCATCAAAAGGATTTGTTTGACAACACTCATTAGATTGACCAGTTCTTATAAGAAAAAATGTCTTGAAAAATTCAAGGAACTCTGTGAGGATCTTAAGAAGGATAATTGTAGATTTACACAAGTTGGGAGGTCTCTTGGAGCCATTTCTAAACAACTGCAGATTCAGAAACCATCAGCTGAAACTACACAAGTACAAGTTATTCAGATGTTTTCACCAGTTTGATCTTGAGGAATACTCAAAAAGTCAGCTCCAGATGAGAGGAAATTGGTTAGCATGTTCAGGGATGACATAAAGACCAAGTCTGTTAAGAAAACTCCTGGAACACCAGCCTCACTGCCCACAGTGAAGCGAGTTTGAGAGGTTGCAGATCAAGAAAAAAGGCCCTGCTCCAAAATCGACATCTTTTGGTTTGACTGAAATTTAGTCGTCCACATGGACAAACAATTACCTTCCGGAGATATGTTTTTTGTGTTCATCTCAGACAAGAAAAAGATTGAGCTGCTTGTCTACAATGAAAAGAGGTATAATTAGAGGAGTGGAGATGAGGCTTTTTTAAACCTAAAGCCTCTGTACCAGCTGTCAAACATGGTAACAGTACCCTCGTGCTAAGGCTGTTTTGCTGCCAGTTCTGCTGGTACATCGCACAAGATGGATTAAATAATGAAGCATGAAGACATCAAAGCTTTTCTGCGAAAGCATCTAGTTGAGGTGCAGCTTGCTAAGAGACATTTAACCAAATATTAGCAGGGTATAGCACCAGTTATTAAAAGTGGTTTTAAATTATTTTAAGAGAGTGTATATACCGTTGAGCCTTCATGTGTACTTTTGACCCTGCTTTGGTCGTCTTGTTTCTTTTAAAGTCATTAAATCTGTATGCTGTACAATCAGTCCAGCCTGGGAAAAGAACGATGCAAACAAGTCATTAAAAGCCCCAAATTACAGCGATATTTATTCCCATGCTTGGTGTCAGAGGTGTGGACTCGAGTCATTAATTTTATGACTTTAGACTTGACTTGAAAAAATGTTCTAAGACTTGTGACTTGACTTGGACTTTTACACGAATGACCTGGGACTTGAATTGGACTTGAACCGGTTTACTTGAAGAGACTTGATATTTCACCCCAAATATAAAATGTAACACGCATATTATATAGAAAGTGTGCACCATTAATTCAATTCATTTATTCAAAGCACACTCCGTACGTATGTGTGCGTGAGCTGTAGCACAGCCAATCAAATTAACCAGATTTTTTTTTTTAAAAAGAAAAGAAAAAAAAAACCCTCAAAAATGCTGCAAGGAGTTATTTTTTTCAGGTACATAAACTATGAAGTAGTCAACAAAAAAACGAAATGCAATATGCAAAACATCCAAGCAGAGAATCACAGACAGAGATGGAACAACTTCCAACTTTGTCCAACAGTTGAAGTTGCATAAAGAACAGTAGGTGGTCCTTCTCTTTTGCTATGATGAGATAGCTGACTTCATCTAACTAGCAAATGTTGTCCAGGCTCCGTTGGTGATACAGTTTTTTTTTAATGTGTATGATATTTTTGTCATGCGATTTTTAAAGCCGGTCCTACAAGTGCATCCAAGAATAACATGCAGCTTATCTCAGAACTGTCGTTGAAAATTATTATTGGAGCTAAGTTTAATTGAGCTGCATTTTAAAGAGGTGCAATTTCACAATTTGTGTATATTTTCTAAGTTCACTATTTTGTCATGTGTTGAGAAAAACACAGATTTAAAAATCACATGGTCTAATATTTACATTTAGCATAACTGTAACATGCTTTTTTTTTTCTTTTTCTTTTTTTTAAGACTCGAAAGGACTTGAAATTCAAAATTTCAGACTTGTGACTTTACTCGGACTTTTACACCAGTGACTTGAGACTCGACTCTGACTTGCCTGACATTACTTGAGACTTGACTTGAGACTTGAGGATAAAGACTTGAGACTTACTTGAGACTTGACTTGAGGATAAAGACTTGAGACTTACTTGAGACTTGCAAAACAATGACTTGGTCCCACATAAGCATTTGACCACCATTATTACTGGAATGAGAATTCTGGAATCTGGAACACATGAGATGCTCTGCCAGGCCTTTACTGAGGTCGACTTTAGTTACTTCTTACATGTGTGTCTGTGCAACTTAAGTACCTGATTACACGTATTCCAAGTTACTCCTGCATTAACACAAGATGTTTAGTCGAACTTGACATTGAGCAAATTTGATGAGATATACAATGAACTTCCTTCTGCTGCCCACGTTTCCAACAAATAATCCAAAATTTAATGGGGATTAGCCTAAAAATGACTCGAGACACCCACCAGAGATGTGTTTTTAGTTGCATTTGTATGTGTGCGCATGACAACGGGGATTCTAAGGCTACGTCAACACGTACTCGGGTATTTTTGAAAACGCAGATTTTTCTATGCGTTTGCACCTTTCGTCCACATATAAACTGCATTTTCGGTCACTGAAAACTGAGATTTTTAAAAACTCCTGCCAGGGTGGATATTTTCTAAAACTCAATTTTTGCATTTACGTGTGGACGAGGAAAACAGAGAAAACACAGCGTCAAAGGTGTGCGCCTTTTTTCACGTCACACTGTGCGCCACGTTATTGTTTTGGTGAAATTAATTTATACATTGGCGGACTTTAGACAAAATACTGTTACTGTTAATTTTACTCACTGCAGTGTTTAAATGCTTACATATACACACACAGTTACTGTTCCTCCATACATAGGACTAAGTTCTATGCACCATCTTTGTTTACTCTTTCCCACCCAGGCTTCTAGACTTCTGATTGGCCAGCATTTCTACACGGTTAGGAATATATCACCATGGCATGTTCCTAGCAGTTTTTGCGTTTACGCGTGGACGGGATTTTTTTCTCTGTTCTCAAAAATACCCGTATGTGTGGACGTGGCCTAAGTATCACATTATGGTCCGAATCTAAATATCACTGCAAACTAGCTGAAGCTATAAATGCAGTGGTGTGTTCTCTGGATCCTGTAACATACTTGTCACTATGCAAAAAGTAAACTAAACTTAAAAAAGCAACTGTATATCTTTCACCCACAAATATGCCAAAGTACTCAATGTCTTCTCTTTTCATTCTTCCTGTTTACCATTCCAGGACACAAAGCTATGGATCATTATGGAATATTTAGGTGGCGGTTCAGCATTAGATTTGGTAAGTGGTTCTCTCAACCCAGTACAATAGTTGTCAAAAGAAAACCTCTGACACTCTTTCCTTTATATAGTATTGACAGTGTTTGTTCACATCTCAAGCCCAATGTGTATATGGGTCAAAATGTTGTATGTTGTCCATAGAAAATTTCTGTAAATTTGTGTTAATGAGACTGAACAACATTTTATCAGCGCTTCGAGCTTAGAAGCAGTAAAATGAGTCTGTCCTTTTTACAGGAACTGCTGGGATTGATGGCACACTACATAATTCAAAATGTACATCTACTGAAACAACATTGTATTGCAATAGTAGTAAACAACACAAGTGTCACTATCACTGTTTATCACTGTACACAAAACCTGTATTGTCTTCACTTTTAGGACCATTTGGTATCCCCCAGGTCACACTGACTGAGGATGTATTTGGGGTTTTAAAACCTAGTCTGACATAGAACTATTAACAGTTATTGTCTTCATCTCAGTTTCAAACAGTAGAGAAAACATGTATGTTTACTGATTGCAATTAGTCTCTGTTCGAATACAATTAACAAATATGAACTCTAAAGTCCTCTGACAGCTAAAACTTTTGGTCATGTTGAGGGTGAAAGACTTCCCTGTGCTCAGATTATAATAATGTAACCTTAATTGTGTGTTTGTATCTGTGACATGTCTGTATAGACACGTCAACCTGACCCAAGACCATGTAAAGGATATAAATGTACTGGCTATAGTAGTATGTGTGCTCAGTCGTTATTTCTGGTTTTTACATGTTTCTCACAGAAAATGAGCAGTCATCTCCGTGAAGACAACTCTGCTGAAACCCACAGCTCATAGTTTTTGTTTGCTTGTTTGGTTTTTTTTTCCAAAGATGGAGCCTGGAGCTCTGGATGAGACCCAGATCGCCACGATCCTAAGAGAGATCCTCAAGGGCCTGGAGTACCTGCACTCTGAGAAAAAGATCCACAGGGATATCAAAGGTAGCCAACTGACTTTGAGTGCTATAATTAGAGGACGCATGTTTCAGCTGTTTAGGCTTCAGGGAGTGAACACAAATATCATGGTTTTGACACCCACTTAGTTTCTTTCATTATGATGTTGTTCACTTGAGATGAACATTGCAGCAGTTCTCTGAAAGCTATCTGACCGTTCCCTCTTTATTATAGAAATTGGTGATGTAGATAAATGGCATTAAGAGAATTGTCTGAAGCAGTAGCAAGGCTGGATCACATCAGCTATCCTTCTTGTTCCTTCTGCAGCTGCCAACGTTCTGCTGTCTGAGCAAGGAGAAGTAAAGTTGGCTGATTTTGGTGTTGCCGGGCAGCTCACAGACACCCAGATCAAACGCAACACTTTTGTGGGCACCCCCTTTTGGATGGCCCCTGAGGTCATCAAACAGTCGGCCTATGATTCCAAGGTGAGTTCAGAGCCAGTTACATAGTGTACACAGCTACGTTGACTTACATTCCTCTAGCAATCTTTCAGGCTACACTCTGCTGTAAATGTGAACTTCAAAGTTTTCACGATGCTAAAATGACACAAAAAAGAAAACTGTGAATAACTTGTACATAGAGCTGTCTAAAAGCTTTCCTCGACAGCAATTGAAAACATGGTCAGTATAAATCCATTACATATATTTTTTAACAGATGCTATGAAAGACCGGTGACAATGAAAATAGCATCTTTACCAGTCATGTGGTTGTAATAGTGTTAGAGTTATGTCAGCTTAGGCTGATGCACACAGCGTAGGAAGAGCAGCCTGCAGCAGCACATGTGCTTTCAGCTGCTTTCAAAGTGACAGCTACCATGTCGAACTGGTGCCCACTTCATTGAGATTGTGCTGCATTTCATGTCCACTTTCTGCAGCAGATGAACAGTATCTGAAAGTCATCTCCTTAAGAAATGGAATAACAGTCCTGCAAACTGGTCCTTCGTTTCATCCATTAACTGTTTGTGGAAATGGGTGTTAAGTAATTAATTATTATTGTTGTTGGTGACTGCTCTGTGCATTTCTTAAAAGGATGGTAAATGCCACATAGAACAGGAGTAACTTTCTGAAGTGGGCGCTGGCTCCCTATGAGCAGCAGAGGAAAGATGTGAGTTACCAGAGTGACTTGTGACCAAAAGGACATCAGTAATGGTCCGTCCAGCCGGCACATATAAACTCGGAAGAAGAGTCTTGGTTGTCTGTAATTAGTCTTTTAGTGGATAACAAAGTACATGTGTGGCCTTAAAATGAACTTTTTTTTAGTTGTTATTTTCACTACTTGACCACAAATGATCTTTTTCTTTATCTAGCTTTGTGGAATTTAGTTATTTTTAGTTGTTTTTAGCTTCTTTGTCACAAAGTAAAGGATGTCCACAGCTCCACAGTCATCGGTCAGTCACTCCAAGGTATAACGAGAACTCTTACATTTAGTTTATCTTATGTTTATCTTCTGTGTGTTCCAGGCTGATATCTGGTCTCTGGGCATCACTGCTATCGAGTTGGCAAAGGGTGAGCCGCCCCATTCAGATCTCCATCCAATGAAGGTTTTATTCCTCATCCCAAAGAACAATCCGCCCACACTGGAGGGCAACTACAGTAAACCACTCAAGGAATTTGTCGAGGCCTGCCTCAACAAAGAGCCCAGTTTTGTAAGTAATATTAAGTTTTGTTTTGCTATCTGTACAGAGTTTTCAGACTGCATCACATGCTCATCTCAAAGCTTTGTTTTTACAGAGACCAACTGCCAAAGAGCTGCTGAAGCATAAGCTGATCGTCCGTCATGCGAAGAAGACATCCTACCTGACCGAACTGGTGGACAAGTACAAAAGGTGGAAGGCAGAGCAGTCTAGAACCACAGAATCCAGTTCTGACGAGTCTGACTCGTAAGTCCAAAATGTCTTTAACTGTGAAGTGAATTTTCATTAACGAAAAAATGCATTCATCTCTGTGCTGCTTTGTTCTGATGAGCTAGAAGCACTTAACATGCATGACTTTATCACTCATCCTGATAAATGTCCAAAATCCTCTTTAATATCTGTCCAATCAGAGAGCAGGATGGCCAGGCCTCAGGTGGGAACGACTTTGGTAGTGATGATTGGATCTTCACCATCCGAGAGAAGGACCCCAAGAAGCTGCAGAATGGGGATGGCCAGCCAGGAACAACAGATCAGGTCAGCCATGAATGGATTTTTGTTTAGTTTTTAAAATCTTTTAATTTGACACTTTATCCATCTGGCTCCTTAGCCAGCTCCATTTTCCTACTTTGACGTAACGTATCTGCAGCTTATGCGCACTTTACTGTGATAAAAAGTTGTGATGTTATTTGGGGAAATTGAGAATTTTTTGTTTTTTAATCCCCTGTAAGTGCACTTCTTTATTTTCTTTTAACACAGAAAAAAGACATTCCAAAGAGGCCTTATTCACAGAGCCTGGCCGCTGTTATCTCTCCTGCATTATCTGAGGTAAGCAGCTTCATGTGGACGATCAGCTGATTAGTTGTTCTCCTCCACAGCCATCACTTCTCACTTGGTCTGACTCGTGTAGCTGTGGTGGATTTCTGCAAACTATAGACGAGACTTGTTTTTCACACTGAATATTTTGGGAACTGTAATTTGTGTGTGACTCATTCTTTCGCTCACATAGTTTTTGGTGTTGTCCAAATGAACTCTGCTGCGTTTCCATGGTTTTCAAGCAGGGCTTCCATTGAGTAATTTCCCTTTGTCTGTTTCACTCATCTAAACATTCAAATTAATTGACTAAACTCAATCAAACAGGCAGTTTTATTTTGTTTTTACATTTTGAGTGACTGCGTTTTCAGAACATACGCGGTATATAAAGATAAACAACATGTCACCACTTCTTCCTGTTGTGCAAAATTAATGCTCAACCGTTTCTAGCTCCTTAGATGTGTAGTTTTGTATTGTATCTTTGTGTCATTAGATTAACAAAGTGTGTGGCTCCTTCCCTGTGTTCTACCTCCCAGCTGAAGGCACGACAGGAACAGGTGAACGGGAACCCCTTGGTCCTGGATGAGCTGAAAGAGGCTATCCTGCTGGCTGAGGAGGCCTACCCTGGCATCTCTGATTCATTGGTTGCTCACATGGTGCACAGGCTCCAGAGGTAACAGCTTCCCTCAGATTTAGTGCTCAGAAGTCAGTAACTATACAAAGCAGAAGATGCCATTAATCTTTTTTATACTTGTCTCTTCTTTCTTCCAGTTTCTCCACAAGCAAGACATCCACTTCCTCCACTTAGTGATTGGTTCTGTCCCAGCCCTGCTCTCCCAAGCCCCTACCCCCCCATCCAACACCGCAGCCAGATCAGAGGGTTCAAAGTCAGGGGTGATGTCATTCAATACCAGCTGACCACATGTGACCTCTTTGTGTAGGGCGGGGTGCTAACCTGGCCTATAAAAATGACTGAACTCCAAAGTAGAGGAAAAGAAGGAACCTCTGGAGAGCTTCTTTTATTCAGTAATAAGGAGAAGTTAAGGGGGCAGCAAGACCCACTGGAAAGGCTTTGATGGGACAAACTCAGTCAGAGTGATGTCAGCGATGCTGCGCTCTGTGTACAGGAGACTCCTCCAGCCTCACACAGCAGAGTCCACAAGGAGCCAAAAAAATCTCCCCAAAATCCATAACAAGACTTCAGCCGCCCCACCCCTCCCCCACTCCCAAAGTAGGAATCATATCCCCCCCAAACCTCTGAAAGCATGCTTGATGAACCTGCAGGGTTATTATCTTAGTGTGCAAGCTGTGTGTGCGTGCGTGCGCGTGTACCTGTGACTGCGTGTTCATGTGTTCTCTCACGCAAGTAAGACTCCCTGCTTAGGCAAATTGCAGCATTCATAAGGAAACCTCAGGTAAAGTGCTTTAAGTGGAATTTGTCCTCCAATGGCGCGGGGGGTGGGGGGCCATGCTGTACATGAATACAAGTTGTCATTGCGGGAATTGAATCACTGTGTACAAAATGGTCATGCGCATTTTGTAGATACTGATAATGTTTAAAAGCAGATATTTAAAGTTACTCCAACAGTAAGAACAGAAAATGCCTTGCCTTTACAGATACACACAAATCTGTGTTCTGGCATTACATCAGTTTTCTTTGACTTATCAGTGAGTGAGATTCATCAGTGTTTTGGGGTTTTTGGGGTTTTTTTCCAAAGTGACTTGGTTTCAATCTCACATTTCAATCACCCGCTGAATCAAACTAACTTTGTTACTAAGCTGACTTTGTTTAGTGGCAGAAGAATTTCCTTTGTTTCTTTAGTCAGGAGGAAAACTGCTACCTGTACTTACGTTTAGACAATTAAAGTCAGTTTTGAAATTTTGTAGGTCAAGATGAAGTTAGGACAATTACAAAGAGGAACCTTTAGGGGTGATCGAATGCTGATATGTGAAGTATTATTATTCCTCGGCTTGTAATTTCTCCTTAGCAGTGTTTAGAAACTCAACATGGAGATGAGGAAAAATGGCAAGGCCCCAAGAACGCAATCAATCCACACAAAACTTTGCTCATGGCCAAATTAAACTATTGATCAGCACAAGCCAAGCTGCAGAATCCAATGCCATCTTTATTATCCTCACAGATTTCTGTTCTCACCTCCACACCGTGCTATAGAAGTGCCATGTCTTCTTTTATGCTTTCACCAGATCTTTGTAGTATGATTTGCACCTTTTTTTTCCTAATTTTCAGATCAGTTTTTTTGCACTTTGAAAGTGTGTCAAGTATTTAAAGAAACCTGTAAAAAAAAAACAAAAAATTGCTAATAGCCATGTTTTACTATATATGTTTACTTAAGAGTTCCAGAATTTACTACTGTGCTAATGCAGCAATAATGTTGGTGAGTTGCATCAAGACGCACTTGTCAACACAGGGACTGAAAGAAATTAAGAAATATGTGATATTTTTATAACTGCAAAGAGTTAAGTATGGAAATATGGAATGCTTTATGGATATCAGCACCTGCCTCTGGCAACAACAAAAAAAAAATCTGTAACTTACAGAAAAACATATGCTACGAAAATAACAAAATGTGTACATTTGGTCTCCTTTATCATAGCTGACAGTTTATAATACTGTATATAATCTTTGCTTGTGTCATTTGAGAATCCCCAAGTTAAATTTAAGCTCCTTATAAGCTTTCAAAGTGACATGAGAAATAAAGATCTAATCTAACTGAGAACATAATGGCCACATTTACTTTTCAGGAGTTGTGTTTGTAGATTGGAAACTCCTTCAACACCATTCAGGGATTTAGTTACTCCACTTCCCCTACCATTGTGCCACATTCACAAGTGTTTCTAAAGGACGCTAAAGCAATTCCCCAGCATGGTGAAGTATACATTTGCTTGTTGTTTGTTTTTAGGTAGGAAAGAAAAAGTCCTGTTCTTATTCAAAATTCCCAGAACACAGAAGGGGAGCTTCTGGCAGTTTAGGATAGTAACTGCCTCAAAGTCACAGTGACTGGAGCACATTGGTCGACAGCTACAGTGAAAGATAATTAAAACTGCAGTAGAGACACTACACAACATGAACCTGTTAATGCAACAATAGGTTTGTTCTTGATCACCAGATCTGGCAAGTGCGTCTACTAGGAGGCTGAGGCAGTATTTTATTTACTGACATTAAATGTCAGTGAGACCAGAGAAATGGCAAACTGAGCTATATTTACTACAGTCAGTGTCCTCTTTTTAAAGCTAAATAATTAGCACCAAGTAATTACCCAGATATGATATAAACCATTTCTAATATATAGTTCATGAGTATGATTTATTGTAATCACAATAACTTGTATGTTTTTTTTTTGTGGTAAGTACTTTGGGAAAGAATGGTGAATACTACCTTCTTGCACTGAAAGACAAATCCACCCAGTCATCAAACTAGCTGCAATCATTTGTATTTGAAGGCATATTCAGTTACAGAATTGTAAGAACGTAGACACTGATTTTAAATGATGTCATTGCATATGTGGAAGAAACCACCGCTGACATAGATGTTTAGTGTCAGAGCATTGGAGCATTGAATAGCCATAACATGACAGTGTTCTTCAAGCCCAAAATTAATTCAGACTTTCAATAACGAAGATTTCTTACTGAGGAAGCTGTGTGTGGTGCCAGATTATCTCCTGTTAATATCGTTTATGTATAAAATACCAACAGCATATTACAATACATACATCACTGCACTTTGAAATAAATACAAATATTGGGATGATTTCTTTGTAATTATGCATGTGTAAAAACATGAAAGACAAAATTAGTTGAAGATAATAAAGCTCAGTGCAAAAGAAATCATGTCAAATTTACAACAGTTCAACTATAGATGACAAACCTATGAATGGATTTTAATTATATGAGCTGATATGTGGATAATCAGCTTCTGTGCTATTCAGTGCCATTTCACTCGGGTCACTCTAGCTGCTACATGTCCAACTGTGAGCTGATTTCTCTGACAAATTGACCAAAATGGCACAGGCACTCTGAGACATGAAAGACAAAATCCAGCAGAAGAAAGGGGAAAGCCATAGTGAGGGAGTTGCTTTAGATCTTTGTCTGTTTGGTGCACTCGTCATCAGAGCTGGAATCAGAACTCCTCCTGTCCTCTTTGTGGCTCTCAGCTGAGCCTTTCCTGGGCATGTCGAAGTTTTTCCTCTTCTCCTTCTCTTCAGGCTCCATTTCATCAAACTGGGCCTCTATCTTGGTTGGGTCAGTGTAGGTGTAAAAATAGGCCATGATGGCAAAGATGATACACACCAACACCAGCAAGGAGGCGAAGAGAATGTACTCGGCCCACTGGTGAAGAGAAACACAAAAAAGTGTTCATTTGGAGCTTGGTATAAAGGGTGAGAGACTGCATCACCAGTCATAGGTTGTTCTGAAATTCTTCACTGCACTTCTGGTGTACCTTATTGAACCTGTGTTGTTCTTGTCCATGAAACGCAAGTACAGCAACTTACAGACATTTATATCACTTAAAATAAACCTGCCCAAAGTCAGTGAGCACAGTATGCATATGCATCCACTCACCTGATCATTTAGCGTTGCAGCCTCAGCAACAATAAGCACAATGATGTTACCTACGGCAACGGTTAACAGCCAGCCAGCCTGCAGCACAGACTTCATGTTGCTGGGTGCCTGGATAGCAAAAAGCAGTATCCCAGATTATAAGTAACATCAAGAATGACATCATCAGTCCTCATGTTACATGTTGCATTCTCTAGGCAGCTGGCACAGACCTTATTATCAAATGAGAAAAGTTAAGGAGAGCACCCTCTACCTGTGAGTAGGAGAACTCGAGGCCTGTCACAGAGAAGACGACCTCTCCTGTAGTCATGAGGAAATACTGAATGATCTGCCAGGCCATGTGCACAGAGTTAGGCTTCATGTCCATCACTGCCTTGATGTTCTCTGAGCACTGGAGCATACAGAGAGGTATGCATGTCTTAGCTGCTTCCAACAAACACTGAAACCATGATGTGACTCAGGGTGGATTTACATGTTACCATTTCTCCAAATGTGAAAGTGGATGGGATGATCAATGTATAAGAGCTGCCAAAGCCCAGCTCCTGAGTGTAGACGCAGCTTTCTCTATTATCCTTGATCATGAACTCAGCTCTGCCATATTAAAGAAAACCACCAGTCAAAACAACCCGTTCTCACTCCCAAAGCGTAACATTTTACGCTAGGTGACAAATCGTCAACATATTACGTTTTCGGCTACCCACCACGTTCCTAAATGACGACCTCGGAAAAAGAGGAAATATGAGAACCGTCTGGACTGAACCTACACATGTTCGCTCTTTTTCTTCAAATCGCTTAGAAACACGCTATTTAACATCATTAAAGTCCTGGTTAAGGTCAGGAATAAGGTTATGGTCAGGGCTAGGGATAAGGTTAGGTTTAGGGCTGGAATACAGGGCTGGAACGTCTATTACCGCGGGAGCGTCATTGCACTGGATTCCAGCCATAACCCGCCGCATACCATAAGAACGCCGAAGGTCTCCTTTCGCGTTCCTCAGGAACGCCGCGGGACGTGACAAAACGTCGACATGTTACGCCTCGGGAGTGAGAACGCTCTGGTCAAAACAGTATAGTATAGTATAACCATATAGAACTTTCATATGAATGAGAAATCAGTCTTACTTTCCATGTGAAACACTGAGATATTCTGACATGTTGCTGGTAAAGTTGAACACCTTGTCACGCACGGTTACATTCAAATCTGAGCCAAAACCATTCAGAACTCTGCAGAAGGACAGTTCAAAAACAGAAAAGATCCAATTATAAACAGAAGAATTTAATACCAAGGTCTAACTCATCATACACGATAAAACAGTGGGAAGGAAAACTCTGTTTTAACAGGAAGAAACCTCCGGCAGTAATGTAAAATGTATGAGTAACTTTAAAAAAACAAAAACAACAAAACACTTGCCTTATAGCATTTTCACCCTTTTCTGGCTTTGAAGTCATGTCATCGAACTGGAGAAAAAGAATATTTTAGCATCTCACATGCACTGTATTGTTTTCATCTCAGCTGTCTCAACGTACATGTAAGTTTTTACAAATATGTTATTCTTCCATCAACAAAATGCTTCATTCCTCCATGCTTTTACCTTGAAAGTCTACATGTTAAGTAAAGGCTGCAAGAGTTTTAATCTGAAAAATCTTTAGGAATTATACCAAGGAGATTGGAGAGAAAAAAGGCCAAGTTCATGCTCCCAATATTAAGAATTTTACAGTAAAATTTTCCAAGCTTTGCTTCAGGGTTGGCCAGGTGTTTTTACCTTTTCAAACCCAAGTTTGGATCCCTGAATGATAGCAATGGTATTCCGAGTGCCATTAGCCAAATTGATGGTATTTTGTTGCCCAGACTCCAGAACCAGTGTAAACTGGTTATGAAAGGTCAGATAATCCTCATTAGCCTGCAGGAGAAAACAATTGCCAATATCAGAAAATTTTTCAAACTTGCATCTGACCAAAGTGTCTGGGAATAGTTTCTTGTGTTGGCTAGTATACCCCAAAACCTTTCAAGGAAATAGTTTTGTTATCAGCTTGAATCTGTAGATCCCTGTTAACCATGTTGATGAACTTCACTTGGCTTTCAGTACTTGATGGGAAGTCAGGCAGGGTTTTCTAAAAGAACAATGGAATTTTGCATCATACGATGCATGTTTAATAAGTTGCCAAAAGTGTGCTTGGGGTTTTTTTTTTGTGTTACACTCACATCAATCTGTATCTGGAGCAGGGCAGCAGCCACAAACGCGAGAGCAGCTAGGAACATCCCCACTGTTATCCTCCTTAAAGGACTGCAGAACACACACACACACACACACTTGAAATCCTCTTTATATCACTATTCAGCCACATGGAACAGTGTTTACAGGAAGTCATTTTATAGGAGGCATTTACTTTATTCTATTTGTCTTTTTGAAGGCTTAAAGTAATTGCTTATTTAAAGATTTCTACAGTTTGAACACATTTTATAATTTGGTGATGTGATTTGTTTACAGTTATGTAATCTTCTACAGACCGTTTATGCAACTAATTAAACATTAGTTGTTTTTGTTAGTTTGCTTTTTCTTTTATTACAAAAAAATAAATTATAATTAAATAAAGATAACAAGCTACGATGTAGTACATTAATTAGTAGCTATGTGAACCAATTATTTAAAAGGTTACTGTAAAGAAATAAAGACCCTAAAATATATACATTAACAAAAAATATTAATTGTGCTAATTCATCAAACAACTATTTTCTTACACAGTATAACAATATACATTAACATAAATTATAAGATGACTAATGGATAGTAAATATGAATTTTGTTTTCATTCTTGAATGTAAAATGGTATCGATTCAACAAAATGAAGACGGAACAAAACACTCACGTGAAGTTAAAGCACTTGGAAATCAGAGGGTAGATCAAAGTGTCCATGACTGGCACCAGAATCAGGATCAAGATAGGATTGACAGTCTGGTGGGAAGAGAGTGATGCTTAAGCCATGTTCACACACACAGTGTGGTTTTGAGCATCGCTTTATATCACAATCATGCATTCAGGACATTATGCTAAACCAGCACCATCATCTAAACCACTGGCTGATTCTGACAGGGATTTGTTGACAATCCCTGACTCTCCCAATGCTGTCAGCTCTTCATGCATGAAAAATGCTTAATTTAATCAGGTCAGATGTAATCAAGCCCAGTATCTCACCTGCATCTGATCAGGCTGGATTGTAATCGCTCCCTATTGGGAAAAGAAGAGAAACAGTCTCATTAATATCATCCATTTCTGTGGTTTGAGGTCACAAGGTGTTATACCTGTATTTAACTGGGGTTTTTTTTTTTTGCATCAAAACATTAAAACATAACACTTGCAAAGTTGCCGTTCATTGTGGTCGCCTGGAAGGTCCATCTTGAACCCTGTGAAACAAACACAGTTGTCATTTTTTTTCCTGTCACCGGATTTTGCTTCAATCTTTCATTTCAGTTTTACAGCCATCTCAAGGCCATATACCGTATTTTTCAGACCATAAGGCGCACTGTCGATTTTTGAGAAAATTAAAGGGTTTTAAGTGTGCCTTATAGTTCGGAAAATACGGTAAATGTGGGATTTACCTATATTATAAGGTAAAAGTAACTCTTTCACTCAAGACAGTATGTTCCTAACACTGGATTCAGGTGCTAGTTATTCATAGTCTCACGCATGCACACATACCTGCTGGTCAAAGAGAGCCCAGAACATAGGCAGAGGGATGTAGAGGAACAGCACCTTCAATGCCATCTTCACCTGAGCAATCAGGAGTTTCTATGCCAAAAATAAGAAAATGATAAGAAATCTATGGCCATGCTGTTTGTATTTGCATGTGCCTGTGCTCCACTTACATCATATTTCTCCTCAGCCCAGTCCATCCAGTGGTCTCTCTTGGGATACTGAGAAGAACGATGCCTGAAACGGTTTTTGACGGCAAACTACAAACAGCAGAAAGACAATTGCAAAATAATTACTGTAACTGTACAGCAGGAGATTCAAATGGGATTCACTTTTAAGCTAGAAAGACACTGGAACCACCTACCCCGATGCACTTGCAAACTTTCACAATGATGTTGCCCTGCGGGGGGTTCCTAATGTACATGGGACTTCCAACAATGAACACAACTGCAAACACACACACGACACATACAGGTGTTACAAAAGTAACAGGAAATTATAAATGACAATATTGTTTCACCAGTTATCTCTTTATGGTGCAACTTTCTTAGAAAACACAGTTTATGGTGACTACTAGGTTTTTTTAGCAGCTTGGTTAGAATTTCTGTAACAAGCACTCAACTACTTAGCTACAATTTGTCAACACTTAATGAAGGATACGTCATCGAAAAGAAGCATTAATTTGCTTATTACAGCAAACAAGAATTTTTTATAATAAAATCCTTACTCAGAGCTACCACCATGAGCGCAGCAGGGACACCGAAGGCCAGCGGATAGCACTCTTGCTGGATGTGAATACCACATGTCTGAGCTGAAGATGTAAGGACACAAAAATCAGTTTGTGACCCAGTGGTATATTTTATTTTCTGTGATCAGTTTGAGTGTTGTGGCTCTACCTCTGAGAATGGGAGTAATCAGAGTGGAGATGAGACTTCCAGCATTAATGGACAGGTAAAAGATGGAGAAAAAGGTGCTTCTCTGTTTCTCCTATGGGGCACAGCATTATATTGCACACTTATTTCCTTAGATAATTTAGCCATGTCATTAACATTATGGATTAATCTTTGTCCCTGGCCTTGAAGGGTGTAATAAAATTACAGGGGCACTTGTGCTTGCGATCAAGTAGTTAATAAAAAGCTAGCAGGAACAAAAAAACAGATAAACAAAGTGCTGACCGAGTACAGCTGATAACTTTGATAACTGTGTAGCTTTAACTGCTGTGTGCAAAGGGCAGTCAGTGTATGTTGTCATGTATATATTTGGTGTGTGTATAATTACATGTAAAAGTACATCTCTTTGTTGCTGCATTAATTTGTGTGTGGTTTTGGTTGTTGTGTTGTTTTATAATAACATATATGGTCACAGATGTCGAGACTGAGATTCACGTCAAGGTGGCTATGTCCATCTTTTATATACAGTCTGTAATGAATGTGTAAAACTCTTGGACTCTTTGAAAAAAGAGGTGTTTCTGGCGAGTTCCACTCTCTGCAGTAACACATATGCTTGAGCACCGTCTGACCTGATGATCTTCAAACTGGTCCCCTCCAAAAGCAGCCACACAGGGTTTGATGCCTCCTGTTCCCAAGGCAATAAGAAAGAGACCCAGCATGGACAAAGCTCTGGGGGCAAAACAAAGTACAGACAGATGTTCATTTGTCTGACAGTGTGGATCCAGTGCATTTCTATTATGCCAGTCAACTCTGGGTGTGTTTAGCTCACACGTGTAAGGTCATGTTGTCAGGGGTGCCATCCTTGTTAGTATCTGTGATGTCCTGGATAGCACTTATAGCCATGACGACCTGTCCCACTGTATAAACAATGGACAGGTAGACAATCGTCCTACACAGAGGAAAGAGGACAAGGGATGTGTGAGGCACTGAGCAGATGTACAGCATGTACAGATAAAGGTAAGATAGACAAGGATCAAAACTCCAAGGTTAAACACTTTAACCATTTAAACTGAGTCTTCATGCAAATACTGAAACTGAATACAAGCAAATTATAGGTTGGTGTCTTTTCATGTATTGATTTGATTTTATTGAGAAGCTCACTTGAACTTCCCAAGCCATGAGTCTGCCACAATAGCTCCCAGGATGGGCGTTAGGTAGCAAAGAGCCACAAATGTGTGGTAGATGGTGGTGGCAAAGTCTTCATCCCACTTAAGGAAGTACTTGAAGTACAACACCAGCACGGCTGCAGACAGCAAGAAGAGAGGAAGGCAGGGGGGCACAAAGGAAAAAGTTAATTGAGTTGAAGCTTACTCTATATTCTAAAAATTCATTCTGCGTGTTAAGTAAAAAAAATAAAATAAAGTAACTATAAGTGTCAAAAATCTAGTGGAAAGTTATACATGCACAGTAGCATAAAAACATCCTTAAACAGCATACAGTAAATACTTGATTAAATCAACTTTCAGGTGAAGAAAAATAACATCAGAACCCAATGAAGCCACTTACCTCGCATCCCATAATAGGAAAATCGCTCACAGAACTCATTAACTACGATGAAAAAGATGCTCAGTGGGTAGCCGAAGATTGTGGCCTGTTAAAGGGGAAAGGAGAATGTCTGCAGCGTTTAATCTTCACGGATATTGCAACAAGATCAAAGCACTGTGTATTGTCAGTACAAAAGGATGAACTGCGGTGCAACTTGAACTTACACTTCTTTTCTTGGGCTTCTTTATCTTTTCAACTGCAGAAAGAAGTTAACATAAGTCCCATATAACTTATATACTTATGGAAACAAAGTAGAAACCGAATAATCTGTGTGTGTCAGGAAATATTTCTTAAAAAAAAATAAAGAAATCCCGCTCACATAGCTCTATACTCCAGATTGAGACTCACCTGCCATGGCTGCTGTGCTCTGTGTCGACCTTAGGTCCCAAATTCTCTGACTGAATCTTTGAACAAAAGACAGAGAGAGAGACTAGTGACTCCTGTCTAGATCCTCGACACTAAGACTAAGTCAACATGACCAGGTCCTTATGTAACCTCCTATCAACGATTCTGCGACGCCCACTGATGCTAGACTGTGAAACCAAGTACCATCTCCCAATTTGCCCTTCTCAGCATCATTGTTATCACAAGTGACTGTGTCAACCCCTAATTATCTGATGACTCAAAGAACTCAGGTGCAATAAGACGCATGGTTAGAACAGCTGATAACAGGGACAATACTGTACAGTGTTTTTCCTTTTTGCTTTCAGGTTCCATTATCACTACTAGTTCTTAGAAACTGCACATTCGGGCATTGCATTCTCTTAAAACCTCATTAGCCCTGTTTAGCTTCACATCAATCAACCACAACATTAAAACAGGCAGGTAAAGTGAATACAGGTGGAGCAAATAACAAGCGATTGTGTCATTATGATGCAGTGACCTGCTGGGAAAGCGTCATCCAGGCATTCACCCAGCTACACATTTTTGCAGACCAAAGACAACCTGTCAATGTCTGATTGATAATGTGTACAGGTTTTCATCACGATTTCTAAACTGGTGATGGTGTTTGCCACCTAGAGAGGAAATACAGTTGAAACGTTTCAATCTGCAACAGGTAGACTCTTTGAAGACTCCTTTTTCCTGGGACGGACAGGATTAGAAATGAATAAGAGGCACAGCTTAGGTTTGGAGGATTTGGAGATGAATGAAAGAGCTGCAGAGGACAGATAGTGGTATATCAGGAGATGGATGTTGCAGACTAAGCTGCCAAGAGGAAAAGAAGAAAATCAAAGAGAAAGTTAATAGATACAGTAGAAGAGGGCATGTAGCTTGGTTTGATGTACAAGAGGATAGAGTAAGATGGAGGCCCAAAAACTGCTGTGGCAGTCCTACACGTTATGTCACCGGGTTAGTTGCAGGTCATAGCTTTAAATTAGTTTATGTTAGCTAACTAGAGACTGAATCAATAACTCAAACGAAAATAACGACACTAAAACAGAAGATCAGTTTGAGGGAATCACTTATTGGGCTATATTAGCCATACTCTCCACTTTACTGTCTTTAGCAATAAGTAGCTGTAGGTTGTTTGGATAGCAGCCATGGGCAGTGATCCCCTCAAACTATTTAGTTTTACTGTTATTTCTCTCCGAGTTCTCTTGTGTCACCAGTCTATTATAGCCGCAACCAACCACATGAGGTCATTTTAAAACTGAAAACACTTATTTCTTAAATCCATCTTCACAGACAGAGTTACATATAGGTCAGGGATATAAATTAACCTTTGTATGTGTAGAACAGTAAAATTATCAGATAAATAAGATACTGTCATGAATGTTATTCATTCTGTGAATTCTCTTTGGGCTGATGAAGTATCTTAATAATGATTGGATTCTACTGCCATTACATTAGGCACTTGACTTCCTGCTATTTCTTTAAACTAGTTTGCTTTAATGTTGTTTTGTGGGGGAAATCACAGATCCCTGGTTTGTATCTAGCGTCCTTCTGGTAGGTATTTGGTTGCCATTGAGATGTGTGACCTCAGGTCTTCAGTACATGGATGGGCCGGGTGTGCTAGAGCTTACATGTGGAAAGATTGGAGATTCTAAACCTCATTATCCTGCATGTTTTGTGGCAAAAACTCAAGACACTTTCGCTCTCTTCGCACACAGCAATTTTTGTCATCATGTGTCTCATTGTTTTTCAGTGCGCTTTATTACAGATGCAAAAGTTGGATAGTTTTGTCTTCTCCTGTCAGCTCCAGTATTGTTCAACCACATATACTAATGTGAACAATAGAATAACACTAAAATAAACGTAATAAAAAGGACTAAAAAGTGGACCCTATAAGGAGTCATTAACACGCCTCTTGGCAAAGCAAATGTTTGGTACAGCAAAGCATTCAGACCATGATTCTGCTAGCTAAAACTGCAGGACAGCACGTTTTGTTATATTACAAACCTGCTAAACAATAAATTAGAAGCACAAAGTTACCATTTCTGTATAAAAGTAGAAACAACAAAAAGCATATAGAAAGGACAAAGCCTATAGAAGTATGAATTCCTGCACTTCAGTAAAGCAATCACACACAGCATGAAACATTAGCAGGACTCACAGCAGACACATGATGCTCAGCTGCCCAAATCTCTGAATGACACCATGAGGAGTTTGTTCAGCAAACAAATGAGAGGTTGTTTTTGTGGGGGGCTTTTTTTTTGGTGTGGTGGTAGTGTTGTTGAGGGGATGGGGGATAATAGTGATTACAGGTAGGATTAGTTGGCCTTTTACAGGGCAGTGTGGATTTTACCAGAGTCGCATCCTAAATTCACTATGAACTCTTCAATGAGCGTGCCACCAACGGCAGCACAGGCCGTTGGTTGCACTTTCACACTGAAAAACCTGGAAGAAAATTTAAAGGGTGAAGGCACGAAAATAAGAAGTGTCAGTTTCATTGTGTAAGTAATGACCCTATGAAATTCAATTATATTTTATTAGTACCTTACTACAACACTTACTTCCACTGCTGTAACAAAATAATTTCACAAATATGGTTAATATATAGTGTTTTCTTATCTAGCCAAAATACAACAGAGTAGAAAAAAAGTAGTTTCTCTACAGTAGTAGAGCGATGTTACGTCCCCAAGATAGAAGTATAGGGGTGGGTCTGGGAAGCAACACTGAATAAAGAAACTTTATTCTAAACACAAAGATGGCAACACCGCTATAATATATATATATATATATATATATATATATATTTTACCGAGTCATTTAGACAGGCCCCCATTAGAACCCATGAGAAATGCAAGAAATGCATTATTGCTCAGTCTGCAATATCTTTCCCAGAACAAACACCAATTGCAAATAACATACTAAAAATAAACCTGAAAATCAGTTCAAATGTTGCAAAGAGTGAACTACCACTGGCAAAATTTAGCAGTCTTTGCAAACTTCAAAAAGCAAACGGCCTCGACCTTGGACTGATTCATGTCCTACACAGTTCTTACAAGTTCATAGAAATTTCTGTTCAATTAGACCCAAGTATTTGAGTTGATGATTGTAATTTTTATACAATGTTATAATTTGTTTTTCAACAATTTTTTGATTAATGTTTTGTTTCTGTTACAATATTATACTTTAATGTATAATATTGTAGAGGAAACAAAACGGGAAACAAAACATCAATCAAAAAATTGCTCTCTTTTTTATTCGGGCTACTTAAACTTATTTTGGGCTACAAAAAACTGAAGAGTCCCTGCCCGAAGGGCTACCAGGGATTTTGAAATTTTGCGAGCCCTGATATTTATAATTTTAATAAATGACAAATTAAAAAGGCATGAACATTTTTTTTTATCGAAAAAATATCAAACCGTGACACCAAAGTATCGAACCGAACCAAACCGTGAATTTTGTGTATCGTTGCACCCCTAATATATACACACATATATATACATATATATATCTTTGTGTCTAGAATAAAGTTGAACCATTGTTGCATTTTTTGCTTCTTTATTCAGTAATAGTCATGATAGGACAAATCACAAGTTGTGACAGCCTTAACATCTTGTTGGCAAATATCTCAGATGTGACCTTTGCAATCAGACAGCAAAAGAGTTCCAGCAACACTGGTGCTAAGTCATGCTCACATCAGATACAGATGGAATTATTTAGGTAATTATTTTCTTAACAGCTGTAAACTTTGATGAAATTTGATATGCTGCAGATACAGGAGTGTGGTATTTCAGCACTGATCTGTTTTTCATACAATAAAAAAACAATTAAAGGCAAAGCAAGGAAGTAGGCATTATTATTATTACATGTTTTATTTATTTGTCTTAAACATATGAATGAATGGATGAATCATAATCTAGTAAAAGTCTTGTGTTTCTTTTTAAATTTGAATTCACAGATAATAAAAAGCGTCATGACAAAGAAACAAAGGGGTAGCTTACAAATTGTTACACTCTTGGCTTGCATTGCATTGTCTTTTTCTCTCATGTCTTTGGCAAGAGGGGATAGACTTGGTAACTGTAAAAAAAAAAAATTTGCACATAATGTTGTTACAGAAAATAGGTTAAAACATTTTGGTTCATCTGGCTTTATAAATAGTTTCTATAAATGCCCAATGGCCTAAAATAGAGTGAATAATTCTTTGAAAAGATCAAAGATAAACTCTGATGCTTCTGCACTTTACAAAAAAAGCTCCTGCTGTAGCTAGACATGGGGAAAAATGAAGAAAGAATACTGTGCACCATAGGAATGTATGAATGGTTACAGCGGCACTGATGTCTCACTGTCTTAAACACTCTTTTACAAACACACTATGTGAATGAGATCCCCAGAGTTAAAAACAGATCAAGTAGTCAAATGCAAAAACACTTAACTTCCTTGTCTGTAGTTTTAACCCCATGATAGTATCCTTTGGGTTGGGCTCTGGACAGAAGAACAAGATAAGACCATGTTGTAAACTAAAGTACTAATACATGCTTGTTAAGTTACATGTGGTTTAACCCTCTTAGAACACAGAAAATAATAAACAACACATGAAAATGTAGACAGATGATGATATTACAATTGTTGTAAAGGTTTGAAAACCATCTGTATTTAATGGAGTCTCCATAGGAAACAAGAATAATGGGGGGCACACGTGACTTCACTTTACTGGTTGCGGCAGGTGGGTGCCCCTCCCTGAGCTTGGTTTTGTCAGAGGTTTTTCCTTCCCACTGTTTGCTCAGTGGGGTTGGGTTTTTCCTCTGTATTATTTTATGGTCTCTGCTTTACAATATAAAGCACCTTGTAGTGATTTGGCGCTATATAAATAAAACAGAATAACAATGAATTGATTTTTCAGGTTATTGCCTGGAAAATTTTGAAATCAGATAAAATAGGAGGAAAAACGGCAACAAATTATGTTTTTAGGTAGTGTTACATTCTTTGAAGGTTTTCAGCTGATCCTTCAGGTAGTTTGAACAGTCATTAGTAGTGATGGAGCAGCAATTTTGATGTCAAACATCTCTGTCAGAATATGGTGGTCGAGCCATGTACTGTAGGTTGGCACTGGTTGGTGTGCCAGTGATGGTGTTGAAGATGCCCATAGAAGCAGACAGATTGCTCCTTGGACCATCGTCCACTGGGTTTATCTGGAAGAAATGGACTGTTAGAAAGCTTAAAATATACTGTTTGGTTTGTTTTATGTTTAAAAGGGGGTGGGGGATGGAATTAGTGAGGAATGG